TGGGGGGGTTTTGGGGTGCTGCTAAATCTTTAGGTTCCTGTGGCAGCCTTGAAGACTTTTCACCAGTCACACTCATGGGCACAAAACTGAAATGCTTTGTCTCCACTTTAGAGCTAGTAACTATTAACATATAACCACACAAGGTTATTGAAGTGATTTAATTAAGTGTATGATGAATCATTATTATGAAAGGCTATTCAGAAGTTACAGCTGGAATGGAATATGACAGCCCTCGTCTTGATGAGGAAGAGTCATTAGACACATGCTGCATCAACATGTTGTTATAAGGGGGGAAACTGCTCCTTTTCTCTTATGGGGTACCCAAGAGCCCACAGAGTGTCCTCATGTAGGTACTGCTTATAACAATGTGAAGAACAATGATGGCTGCCTGTTGTTTTCACAGCGCAGTTCAAGATGCTGGTTTTCTTGCAAGAGGCTTTCAACAGCTGGGCTCCTCAACAGATTCTTCCCCAACCTGGGTACACTCAAATGTCTTGGACTACAACTCCCATCAACCCTAGTCAGCACAGCTCTGCTGGCTGAAGCGAATAAATGTTGTAGTCCAAAACATCTTGAAGATACCAGGTTAGCAAATTTTGCCTTAATATCTAAAATATAGGAACTATATCTAAAATTTAATGGTATGATCCTTTGATAATGTCAATTTTTATATAGACAGAAGGAAACACAATACATGTACATGTACTTGCAGGACTAAACTAGATGAGATGTGATATCTGTACTCACATCCCCTGCCATTGCCTTTTTGATTAAAAGCAACTGGAGGGGGGTGCTGGCAGCATTTGATAAGGGCCACAGCATTGAAGGAGGTTTTAACCCCTCATACTGTTTTCACAAACTCAAATTGTCACACACACAAAGCTGCTACTGCTCCACTGGGAAAAACACACCTGTATGTTCTCCCCAGTGGGCAAACAGCACCTTTTGGTTGGGGATATAATTAAATCCATGAAAATGGCATTTTTGGGAAGAATTAATATCTCCCTATGACTGTTTAAGGAGAAGAAGTGGAGAGATCTTCCACATCTTGTCTATCATGGGCTTTTGGTGCTGTTAGTCCAGCTCTAGAAAACATGCATTTTATAGAAATTTCCCAGTGTCCTAACCTGGTTATTCAGGAAGCAAGGAAATATACTGAACCAGCTTTTAATCATGAAGGTAGGGCTTAAATAATCCTAGAGGCCTAGTCACATGGGCAGCTAAAACTGGCAATATTAATTCAGTTCTAGATAGCAGGCTGTTTTCTGAAGGTTTTAATATATTTAAAATAGAAGCCAAAAAGCATGAAAGAAACATTTAGTCTAATTGGTTTAATCTAAATTCAGTCTTCTCCACATCCCTTCCCAACAAGAGCACATGTGCAGATGTTGAAGCATTTTCTTCAGTTTTCTAACAATAATACCAGCTATCAAAAGATGACAGAGCACCCTTGGGGAAACTCAGTAGTACACTGCAAATGCAGCCCTGCTTGCTTCTTCCCATCAACAGAATCAAGTTCCTTCTGTTTGTTAGGCTATATTAGGTTTTTCTTCTAAAATATTATGGGGTACAACTGCTTAACAAATGTTTGGGTGCTATATAGTCAGACAGTTGTTTTATTTAAGTTATTTTAAAATTAATAGGACTGTCAAATTATTGGGGGGGGTGCGCCTCTGTGCTGCCAGATACTACTTCCTGCCAATTCCTTCTTACATGTCCCTGATAACATTAAAACCCAGAATCTTCTGTTTTCATTTCTTTTCCTTGAGTGCTTAACTTCCTCTATCAGCCAACCTCTTATCTGCTCTTCAATGGGTTTTTTTTTAATGTCACAGAGGTTTAGCCAATGATACAAATGACTCACAGGTAAAGCCAACTATTTTACAGGAATAAAAGAGAAAGAAATGAAAAACAGTTGGAGATTTATTTTTTTTGTAAATTTACAAAACTATATTTTTTTAAAAAGTCCATATTCTATGTTTTAATTTGACTCCTTTATATCTGTATAAGGTGGTATGGAGGTTTATATAAGAAAAGTTTTAGATTTTAAATGAGTTGATATGAGGTAAGGGATGGAACTAAACTTAAATTTGATTAAGTTGAAATTGTATTAAAATGTATTTGCTGTTATTGCCTTTTAAAAGACTATCTGAAAATGAACCTATGTAAAATCATGATGTTTGATATCCCTTGTTTTTCTATATATTTTGAATAGATACGAACATAACATGAAATCCTGATTTATTAATTTTTTTACACATTAGTAAAGGGGCAAGGAAGAAACATGTATCATTAAAAACATGGTACATTCATATTCTGCACTTTATTTAGAAATAAAACATTTTCCTACCTATATCCTACAAATGTTTCAGTTCTAAAACTGGAGAAAATAGATTTCAAACAGGAATTAAAATTTTCGTTGACAAATATTACTAATTTGGTGTGTGTGTTTAAATTTTCCAGTATTTTAGCATGAAATTAAAACTTGCTTTATTGGGGGAGGGATAAAACTTGTTTCTTCACAATAAAATTGGACTTAACACAACCAAAGAAAAACACAAGGCTTCTCAAAAGCCTTAGGAACAGTGAAAGGAACTAGAGATGCCTGACTTGACATCTCTTATTTTTTTGACATCATTTAACAAACCACCTAGTTTAAAGTTAATGCTTAGCCCCACCCCTTTTTCCACTAACAATGGGGGGGGGTGTGTGTACAAAAATGGAAAACTTTGATGAAGTAAACAAAAAGTCTTACTTCCTTCTCTCAAAGATCAAAGAACCAACACATTCTGAAATAGCAAGAACGTCAGGCTTAACACTGCAATCTTTAAGTATGCATGAAACACACAGCTCCTCACTAGTTGCTTTCCCCCTACAAGACCATGCTCATCTGGCAAAAAAACTAGTTAATGTAACATAAAACAGACTTTTAACATTCTTTCACATGTGCTGATGCGTTCAATAAAAATGCTTTTTAAAGCATGTAAAACCTTCCTTTAACTTTAATGTGGTAATATATACAATTTATTTATAAAAGGGGAGAGAACAGCACTACACAAAAATCATTATCTTCAGAATCCCATTCTTTTTGCATACAAGGGCAGCATAACAGCACTGACTTCAATAGCATAGTTGCTGTGTGACAAACAGCGTTTGCAAATGAGTTATTACGAAAGCTGGAAGCATCCTTTAAGGCTAAGTGTTCTCATTTGCAGATAGGTAGCTGTGTTGGTCTTCCATAGTCAAAACAAAAAAAATTCCTTCCAGTAGCACCTTAAAGACCAACTAAGTTAGTTCTTGGTATGAGCTTTCGTGTGCATGCACACTTCTTCAGATACACAGTGTATCTGAAGAAGTGTGCATGCACACGAAAGCTCATACCAAGAACTCTTAGTTGGTCTTTAAGGTGCTACTGGAAGGAATTTTTTTTTGTTCTCATTTGCATTAACTCCAGGGACACCCAAGTTCCATCATATGGTTCCATCCTTGGAACAACTTCTTCAGCACTGCTACACATATAATCAAACCAACAACAGAAATGAGTTCAAAAGTACTTTAGTACAATGCTTTCTCTCAAACCGATTTCATACTAATGTTCTTAACTTGGAGCAGAGGGAAGGAAACGCTGTGGGATTAAGTGGTAATAGATCAATGGGAGTCAGAGCACAATGCTCTGAAAAAAGAAGTTAGAAACATCACACTTGAAGTGAACCACCTAAGCATCTTCCAGCAAACAAAGAACTGCACGCAGCTTAGCAATACCAACGTGCACCACCCTGCTTGCCCATCGTTATTTTAGCTCTCTTCCACGCTGCCTGTGCTAGCACCCGCAACAATGTAATATTCCTCACTACAATCCTTGTTCCAAGTCTGGCATCCTCAAACTCAAACTTCTAACTCTCTTGCTGCTGCTTTCTAGCCATTAAGGGCCCTATTCGTTTCACGAGCATTAAGATGGGGAGCTTCTTGTCTTAGATCTCAGCAGCTGTACCACACACACCAGCCCTTAATTTCCTCTCTCCCCTTCCAATGCCTCCTTTAAGGGTCCCTACAACTTTAATTTCTAAATTGTTCCTGACTCGGTCCTCCCAACCCTCGGGTTTCTTTTTGCTTTTGTTTCTCTGCCTGAGCCTTCAGGTTCCCCCTGTCCAACAAGGGCTTGATATCCAACCCCTAGCGCTCAGATTGTACAAGAACCCCGTGTCTCTCCAACCGAGGTAGTCTGGCTTGAGCATTTACAAAACCAGTTAGTTGGCTGCTGCCTTTGCCTGTTCAGCCACAGGCGGCAAATCCTGTCATAGCCGCTCTCCCCCCCCCGCCCCCGGTTGGTGAGGTTGGTGCCCTTTTCTGCCCTCACGCAAAGCAAGCTCCCTGGACCTCTTTCCCCAAGAGGAGGTCCATGCGCGCCTCCCCTTCGGTGCGCGCAACCTCCCATCTGGCTGGGGGGGGGGGAATTCTTCCTCCAGCCCCTCTCCTGCTTAGGGGTCAAGACCTCTTCCCCTCCGTCGGCCCAGCCAGGCGGGGAGGCGAAATTCCCTCCAAACAGGAAGGAGGGGCTTAAAGCAGCACAACCCCCCACCCCCAATATGGAATTTGAGCCCCAAAGGGGTGGAGCCCCCTCAAACCTCCCACCCCAAATCGGGGGTCAAGCCCCCCCTCTACCCTCAGCCTCCCTGGGCCGCGCATGAAGCACCCCTCTCCACCCCAGCTGTGGGTCTTTCACTTCCCCCACATTTAGGGTTTGAGCCCCCAAGGGGGTAAAGCCCCCTCCCCCCCTCCGGCCCCTTTATTTACCGCCATCATCAGCACGCGCGAGCTGTCACCAAGCGCGAGACACCCCAACCGGTACCTGACACGCCCCCCCGGCCGCCATTGGCCGCCGAGCTCGCCCCGCCCCGCGCTGCCGTTGGCTGAACCGCCCGCCAGACACTATTTCCTTCCCACCCCCGGCTTGGGCCGCCCTACGACGAGTCGCCATTCAGAGAGCACGTTTACGCTACCTGCGCAAGGGGGCTCCCGAGAGTTTTCTTGGACGGTTCCTTTTCTTCTCGGCGTCATCTACGTAACACGAAAGAGCGGGAACCCTCTCACTGATTTACGCTAGTGACGCGTCAGATTGTGTGGGGTGGTTGTTGTTGTTGTTTTTAGTTTTCCCGAGAATCCGAAGATTCTTCGGAACAGTTCGTCCCTAACGGCGTGGCAGCTGAAGCAGACGCGTTTGCCGTCTCTTGTTCCCCCGAACTGCTAGTTTACGGCACTTGCGGAAGCTAACCAAATCCTATAAAAACCAGAAGCGGAGTCTCGGAAGGAGGGTCCGGGGAATACGTTAGCTCCGCCCCCGGAGCTGTGACATCCGTGGGCTTTGTGAATCGCGGGGGGAGGAAGAGGGGGGTTAAGTTTGGTTGAATCACAGGAGGGTAAATAAGGATGTTTCAGAGACAAAGGGGCTCTTAAAGACGCAGGACCCCATTTCGTCGGTCGCCCGCCTGTCTCTCCGGAGCGTCGCGGAGGGCCTGGCCGGGGAGCTTGGGTCTCGCGGCGGGGCTGAGGGCTTGCAAGGGACGGGGAAGAGAAGCCTCCCGAATGTCGCTGCTCCGCGACGGCCTCCCGAGACAAGGGAAGGGGCAGCAGCTGGCACGTTCACATGGCCCAATGTGTAAACACACGTGTATACACACACGCAGCGTGCGCGCGGCCCCGCAGGGTTACTGCCTGGCGGACGCCCCGCGGAGCAGCGGCCGAATCCTGCGCCCCGTTTCCCTCTCCAGTCGCAGGTCCGGCTGGAGAGCCTTTTGCTTCGCGGGCTGCTCCAAGCGCCGCAATAGAAACCGGGCTAAGGAACCCACACGGCGTCAAAATGTGAAACTTGCCGCTTTTTAAAGTATATATAATTTAAACAGATATTATGTGGCTTCCCCCTCCTTTTTTTTTGCCTCGTTTTACCGTCAGGAAGGAACTGATGACATGGCAGCAGGTGAATAATCTGAGGCAGGCAGGACGGAAAAGCAGGCTCCGTTGCGGCCGTTTTGAATCTCCTTGTATGCTTGTATGTATAATGGGAGAAATTAACGTATCGTACAGAATAACTTTGCAGCAGAGTGTCGGCAAATTTATTCAGAAAAATCGTCTTTCAATGAATCTTTCTTTCTGGGGAAAAAAGCATGTGGTAATATGCACTTTCAGGGGGGAGAAATGCAAGATTTATACCGATCAGACCTTAGCATTTTTGTGTGGAAGCCCTCCCCGCAAATCTACTACCAGATTACAGCGCACATCTATATCAGTTGACTGCAGTATAGTTATCCAGTGCTTTGTGATGCTACTGTGACATAAAAGCATGGATCTTCATTATTAAAGTTAACATGCAGAGGTTCCCCAAATGCCAAATTTGTTGTTAAATCACAGCTTGCATTCATCCACAAACTATACTGCAAAATATAAGGGATTCAGCACTTCATGGCCACAATAGCATAACACATGGAATGTTCCCAAAGCCACTATCAAATCACTGCTTACATCCATTTCTATGGACTCCAACATAAAAACCACAGCTCTAGATTTCCCTAATATCCAGCCTGGTAATTCTGATAATATTTGGGCCAGTCCCAACCAGGTACTGTATTACCTAACTGGATTTTGGAATTATTGTAATGGACTAAGACAGCTTCCTTTGCTTTTTGTAGATCTAGCATTGTTGTAGATAACAAAGATCAAAGGCGCAGACCCTTATTGATCCTTATTCCCCTCCCCCCATAGAATTCCGCCCTATCTGCCATCAAACCACAAATCACATTCATGTCTATGAAGTGCATTATAAACTTGTGGTGTGATGCTAAAGTATGAACCAGATTCATAGGTTATCAGTCCATACTCCAGATTTGGGGAAACTTTAGGCAAGCTGCCCTCAATGGGCCACCTTGCATACTTAGTGGGGACCAGCTTGTTTGTGAGATGGCTGCCTATAGCAACAGCACTGAGCAGAGTTCTAACCAGTGCACCTGAACTTACCTGCTGCATCACTCCCCATTGTGGAAAAGCAGGCTGTTTACTTGATGATGGCATCAGCATATCAGATGCTGCTAGACTTGTATGCAGGTGTCCCGTATTGATATATTTGTTGTTTTATGCAACTTTTTAGACTGTTATTGTCACCCAAAGTGGCTGACATAAATTTTAAAAAGAGCTAGAGCTGTTATCAGGACTAGAAACTAAAAGAACACACAAGGTAAATGGACTAGGAAGGAGATTTCAACGTCAGAACAAAGTGAAGAGCTATATCCTGTTCAGGCTAGGCTGATCTTCTGCAGCTGGTGTTGTTGCCTGAATGCTCATTCCTTTGACCCATGTGGTGGATCACTAAACTGCATGTTGCAATTGTTGCAGCCTTCTTAATTAAGAACCTTCTAGCACTGGACTTACTTCATCCACCCATGCTTCCCATTGGATCATCCAGGGAAGGAATGAATTATAACCTTCTGTTGCAATTGAATCTTGTTGAGCAACAAGGTCTTCCTGAGCTCTGGTTTGTTCCTGTATGCTTGATTACTGTTTGGTCTTTTGATGTTTCTTCCTACTGTTTTGTCATCTGGTCCTGGTTTACTTCTTGATCCTCAAATTTAGTCTTCAGTCTGTACACACAGATATGAGCTCCGATCATCTATGGGAGAGCCATGTCTCAGATACATGTGATTGTGTCACTGTGCTTGTTGTATTGTTGGCATTCTTCTGTCTTGATAGTGTTCCTCTCGGATGAAGTCAAACCTCCCTCAGGCACAAGCCTGGGCAGTGTGTATGGAGGGGGTCCTGGGCTGCCCAGACGATACTGTGATGGAGCTGTAATTTTTACAGTGAAATCTGTGTGGATGGCTCTATGAATAGATGGTACACTTTTATGGTGTGACAATTTTAAAATAAGAAAGAGGAATTGCCCTGGATCTACATTCTTGTTTTGTGATGGTAACATAAGGACTAGATCCATGTAGAGTGATGGTTGATTTGGGAAGCCTCCAGGGAGAAACCATGAGGGTCTAGGATCCTTGGTTTAACACTCTGATGGAGACATGAAGTCATGGGTCTGTGATTTTGGCAGCACATTTTATGAATACGGATGTGATTCATGATTTGGATGTAGACCATTTCCATTGAGAAACCATGCTGATGAGCTCCAGGTCCATGTTTTTGCACCACAGCAAACTGCTAGATCCATGGTTGTTATGGGGAAGAATGTGAACTGTGATTTGAACTGTGGTGTGCGTACAAAAATAATGCAAATTCAACGGGATCCTTTAATTCAACTAGATCATACTTTTACTTTCCACTCCCTCTCCAAGGGGTATGAGAAGTAGTGTAATGAACCTTGTGTGAAGATTGGCCAACTGAAAGTTAACCCAGGGTGAATGTTAGGCTGATTATAGTTCTGGTTGCCGGTTGCCATGTGAACTAGAGGGCGGGGAAGGGGCTAGGCCAACTTGGGGGGAGTGGGGGGTGTTGTGTTGGGAGAGATCTATCTGAAACCTGAAAAGACGCTCCCTAATGGCCCTGTGAGATCTTAGTTAGGGATTATAGGAGATGCCGCCATCCACAAACAAGGCACTGAAGTGAAGATTCCTGTCATAGTCCACCATCTGTGATGAAGGTTGCCAGCTGAGCAGTACAGCTGCAATAGCAATAATCAAGGCTATGAAACATCTTGCTTTTTTCTCTGTGTACTGTCTGATTTTTATTTTATTTTATGTTAATTGGTTAGCTACAGCAATAATTTAGGTTTAATATCCCAGACATATCTTATTTGTTCTGTAACATCTGAGTCACCATACTATTGTTTTGCTTGTCTAAATTCCTTGGGGCTTTTCTCGACCCCAAAATAAATCTTGCCAGTGTTTGAAAGCATCTAGCTGTGCATTTCTTTTTGGCTGAAATTCATGCATGGAGGGTTTGCACATCCACTTGTGGATCGATTGCAGAAGAAAGGACTATTGACAGGCTAATGAATTGAGGTGTTCAGGGCACAGATCACCCTGAATAAAAATCATAAACTTTCTACTCACTCTGGTCCTTTCAGTTGGCTGATAAAATAAATCCAAGGGCACGGAGTAAAAAAATCTGAATTCCTAGTTGTGTTCAATAAAAAAAACCTGTATTAGCCAGAGGGCAGTTTCAAATCTGGTATTTCAGTCTTTAAAGGGTAAAGGTAAAGGGACCCCTGACCATTAGGTCCAGTCGCAGATGACTCTGGGGTTGCGGCGCTCATCTCGCTCTATAGGCTGAGGGAGCCGGTGTATGCTTCCGGGTCATGTGGCCAGCATGACTAAGCCGCTTCTGGCAAACCAGAGCACCACACGGAAATGCCATTTACCTTCCTGCCAGCACGGTACCTATTTATCTACTTGCACTTTGATGTGCTTTCGAACTGCTAGGTGGTCAGGAGCTGGGACCGAGCAATGGGAGCTCACCCTGTTGCGGCGATTCGAACCACCGACCTTCTGATCGGCAAGCTGTAGGCTCTGTGGTTTAGACCACAGCACCACCTGTGTCCCATTTAAGTCTTATTTAAAAATGTTTTCTCAGATATGCAGAGAACATTTTTAAAATATCACAGTTTTAGAGCAGTTTCAACTTTTTAACACAATGGCAGGTAGTAATAAAATCTGTGATCCTGCTCCCAGGAGGCCGAGAGAATCCTCTTGGAGATTCTGAAGTACTGAAGTAGGAATGGAAGATTTGTTAAAAAGTGATTAGTTTAATAAAGCACTTCAGTGGCAAACACTGGCAGTAAACTGAACCTTTGCTGGCAAAGTGGGAGAGGGGTGTCAACAGGAAACAGGGATCAAATCCACCCCACTGCAAATTATGGGCATGTTCAGGATCAGCCCCCGGGGATTGCTTTTTCATCAAGATAAAAGTGCTTGGTTTAACTTCTTACTAAAAATTACACTTATTAAACAGCATATTTATTTAGTCTTAAGAATGCTGGTTTCTAAAAATAAGCTAACCAGGAAACAGCAGAAAGCAGCTGTTTTACATAAACTTGTGTGTGTGTGTGTGTGTGTGTGTGTGCGCGCGTGTGTGTGTGTGTGCGGCATGAATTGCCTCAGCAGATACAAAAGATGGGGGCGGTCACCTTAAGCAGAAGACTCAGAGTGAGGTGATACAGCTGGGGAACACAACTGCTTCTCATGCTATCAAAGTGCCACAGTTTTACACAAAGGTGAATAATTTGACAGAATAGATCAGAAATTAAAGGAACTGGTTTTTATTTGGAGGAGACACTTCATAACACTAAAGCATTATTCTGCTGTTTAAAACAAACGGCTCAGGATCGAGATATGACCCATGGGATGTGTCAATATGCCCTAC